TAGCTTGTTCAGAGTCTATCACGTGTGACCTCATTGCTGTCCCTGTAAGCTTAGGGATTTCCCCTCCTCTGGCTCAGTATTGACAGTGCCTAGGCGATCTGGGCTGTTGGTAACATTTTATTATGTCTCCAGGGCATTCTAAGGTTTCAAGGTGCTGTGTAACCTAAGATGGCTCTCCATTCCTGGGGCTCTTGCAGGTGCTGGCACTGTGCACCCCATAATACACCCAGATGTGCCTGAGTTGTGGATGGCTTCTGGGAAGTGGAGAGCCTCAGGCCCCAAAGCATTACCCCCAAACAAGACAGAACATACGGCCTAAAGGCATAACTTCCTTTTCTTAACTCCTTCCCCAGAGATGAGCAGCTGTGGCTCAGCAAGCATGTCTGACATTGTTCTTCACTCTGTGGGGATTTTAGGGCCCGTGCACTGCTTCACCTGAGGTGTCCACAGAGCCCGTGTGCAGGCAGGAGTGTGGGGTAGAGGACAGCTGGGCCATCAGACAACCACAGGACACAGAGATGAACAACTGCACTGTTTGGGGCGGGATGTCATCTGGGAAGCAGTATAGACGGGGCTTTGGTATCAGTTGGCAGCAGATGCAGCTGGACAGTCGCCTCCTTGGCACATGTGCCCAAAACATCTCCAGTTCCAGGGTCCACTGGTGCAGCATTGTTAAACCACTGAGGCGGGCTCGGGGTTGCGCCCCTCAAGTCCAGCACGTCAGAACCTGAACTCCTGGCTAGGGTCTGTGCACACTCAGTTCCCACTCTGCACAGTTGCAGATAAGTCTCTCGAGTTTCAGGGCACCGTGATTGTGGCCCACCAGTGTTTTTGCTCCTAGAACTGTCATGTTTGATTCACAGATACCCAGTGTTTGCTAAAGGTCATGCAAGCTCTGGAGTGCCTGGGCACGCACACCTGCGAGCCTATAGAGCACCTGTTGAATGCACACCTGAGAACCGATAGAGCCCCTGCGCACGCACATCCAAGAACTGAGGGCCTCTATCACAGGTTTTGCCGAGTAGTCCTGGGAATTAAATACGGTGTCCCCAAGCCTCGAGCCTCAAATGCATCAGGGATGCTCAGCTGGCCGCAGGGGCTCTGTCCTCTCCCCGAGCTCCCTGCTAGCTTGACCACTCACCCGTGTCCTCTTTCCTGTGTTTCACCCCAGTGAACGGGAGCTACGGGCCCTGCCCAGAGAAGAGCCTGCTGGACCTGGACCTGGCTGAGGGTCCCAGCCCCTCCTGCCACCAGGGTCTGTTTCTCCCTGCAGGGACCCCGCCGCCCCGGGCTCACGCCCCTGTCTGCGAGAGGCTGCTTCATTTCCCCCACCCTAACAGGTATGTGCCCAGTCCTTTCCACCTCTCCTCGTCTGTTTGGCTAAGGAGACATACAGGGAACCAGAGACACAGAGGGCCAGGGACGTGTCGGAGTCTGGTGACACAGAGGTGCCTAGCATGGGCTCTCCTTGTTTTGCCAGGGGCTCCTAAGGGACACAAAGATGGCTTAAGGGTGGTGCATGTCTCTGTTTCACCAGCTGGGCTGGCTTCTCTCAGACGAGCATCAGGAACGTCCTCAGAGGAGGCAGGCTGAGGCCAGGGAAGGGAATTCAGCCAGAGTGCACACGGTTCCTAGTGTGGAAACCTGTACGAGGACCCCGTCCTCTCCGCCTGCATGTTTCCGTGGGTGAAGGCTACTCACGCCAACGGCGGCATTCCTGGAGCTGGCTGCATGAGCAAGCGGCTCTGGATACTGGCCCAGATAGCAGTCTGCGCTCCATTGCTCCACCAGCCACGTAGTGTCTGCCCTGTGCCAAGTGCTGGGTTGGTGCTAGGGCCCTTGGGGATGAGGCAAGGATCTCCATTGCAGGAGCGCTGAACAGTGGGAAACATTAGCAGATAGGAGAATGCTGAGCATTTTGATTCCCCATGGCCTTCTCTGCTACCACTTCTGTTTTGAAAGAGTTTATTTATTTGGTCAGACTGTCGTAATCGATGTCATAGACTGGGTGGCTTAAATAAAAGGAGTTGATCGAAGCGGGGCTGGCAGCCCAAGGTGGAAGACCTGGCAGGTTTGGTTTCTCCTGGCCTGTCTCCTTGGCTGTGAGGTGGTCACATGACCATCCCTTTATCTGTGTGGTCCGCAAGCCTATCTTATATGGGGGGGGGGGGGGGCAGACATGTTGTAAGGGCCTTCATAAAGGCCCTTAAAGGCACGAGCTCTCTGGAGGCCTGGCTTGCAACACATGAGCTAGGATAGGGCAGGCCAGTCGACAACAGGAACCTTTTAGGCTTCAAGCTGCCTACTAGTTTATCCTACTAGTTGATCCATGATAGTTCCATGTGCCTGTTGCCTGGGTTAACCACTAAGGCTCTGGCAGGACACTGTTGTGGCAGGTGTGAGGGGAGTGAGTGCATCTTGGGTTGGGCTATTCCAGGCCCAAGATGCTACTGCCCAGGTTACAGGTTTAGGTCACAGAAGTGTGAGCTCTCCCTGCACCCCACCCCCAAAATGTGAGGACCTCTGTCCTCCACACCTCTGCTGCAAAAGCTGATTACTCAAGTTGAGCAGCTTTGCAAAGAGCCCAAGATGATGGGCAAAAGGAGGTTTACGTCTTTGACTTAGAATGTTGATGCCCCAAAGCAATGACACGGTTTTCATAAAGTCATTTTGACAGATGGGATTCTGGCTTTCCTGAAGTGGCACGGTGAGATGCTGGGGTTATGGCCAGTGAAGACTCCTGGTGTCTGCTCGTGCTCCATCACTATGGCTTTGCAGCTGTGGATCTGTGTGAAGCAGCTGGCGTGTCTACTAGAGTACCCATAATCCCACTGTGATGATAGAAGGAGTCAGCTCTCAGTGGGGTACCTGGTGTGTCTGGCTCTCAGCCACCGTGCGCTCAGGGTCCTGGCCTCACGATTTCTAGAGTGAATGGTGGAAATCAGCCCCAGAGCAACCGGAACCACCTGCTAGGCCTCCCAGGGACAGGGAGAAAAATCCAGGCCCTGCCACATCCCTGAGACTCAGGCAGGGACCTCCCATGCTTCCCACTGAGGTCGTTCAGGTTGCTCTCAGTTATGTTCCTAACCCAGCCAGATGCTACAGCCAATTCCTCTTTGCTGATGTCAGTTCACTGACCTGGAGCCGCTTGTAAAAGCTCCAGACTGGTGCTTCCCGCTGCCCTCCCTCTCTGCCAGCCTGCCTCTGCCAGCATTGTGCCCCGCTAAAGCAGCAGCTCTGGTTTTGCTTCTTTAAATATTACCGAGTCCCAACTCTCACATGGACTTTCAGCAGGACTTGCTGCTGCCTGTGGCAGCCCCAGCGTCCCCACCCCTGGGGATGGGATGTGTGTTTGCTCCTCTGCAGAGATGCTGAGGTGGAAAAGGGCCCAACGGACAGTTGCATAGTGTCTAAGAGTTTCCCTCATGCCTCCCCTCAAGGAGAGCTTGCAGTCAGTCCTGCACAGGGACTGAAAACTGGGCTCCTGGTCCAGGCCTGGTGCTAGCTTGCTACTGCATGATGGCCCAGTGGCCCTCAATCCTCAGGCCCCACTCCCCCCATTGGACCCGCAGTGATGCAGGGTCAGAGGCCAAGCTCTGAGTGCTCATGCTCTGACTCTCCTTCCTGCCCTTCTCCTCACTCAAATCCTCTCCACCTATTGTCTAGAGCTTCTGGAGCCAGAGAGGCAGGGGCTAGGCCATCTTGGAGATCTCAGCTCTGTGTGGGAGAGCCCTGGGACAGGGCAGTGGTCTTGCAGAAGCAATAATAATGGTACCATGGCCTAGCCCTCTCCTTCCCAAGGAGCTCACCCTTGACCCCAGCCATCACCTTCTTAGCTCTACTCATAGTGGTGTGGCTCTTGTCTCACAGATAAGCAAGCAGATTCAGACAGGGCATGCTAGTCAGGCTCTGAGCACAGAACCAGGCCTCCAGTTCCAGTAGCACCTTCCAAGTTGCCCTCATTTTCAGTCTTCTGGTGACAGGCTAGCCCCAGTGTTTCTACCTGTGTCTCATCTTTTCAGCATCCACAGTGGGGGACAGGCCTGTGCAGGAATTCCTTTACCTCCCTAGCATGGCCTCCCATGAAGGGCTCTCTTCCGTTGGGGAAACTGTGGACCACTCACACGGTAAAGACAGCCTCTGTGGCCAGCCCACACCCCACCGTCCTGCCGGTATTGTCATTGCTGAGGATAGAGGCCCCAGACTTGCCCAGAATGAAGCAGTTTGCCTGTGTCTGTCCAGCTAGAATGGAGCGGACCCCAACCTCAGACGTGATCTCCCAGCTCCCGTGTGCTTCTCCCCATACTTACATCTGAGTTCAGAACTCTGGGCCACCCTGCTACGAACCTTGTCCCTCACTATAACTGCTCCTCGGGTTCCCATCCAGCCACGCCACCTATGGGAGTCCAGGCTGGGTAGGGCCAGGCATCATGAAATGAAGGAAGGAGTACAGAAATAAAAAATTTTAAGGGGCATGTAAGCAGAATTTAAAAGGCTGCTGGCCCTGAAGACTCCTCAAAATGCCAACCGCAGCCTTTTACCCACAGAACTCACCTGAAAGCCAGGGGGGAGGGTCAGGGGTGACCCCAGGGAAGGTGCAGAGGCAAGCAAGATGGCGATGGGAGCAGTGGATGGGCCGGGTTCTGACAAAGGGTTTTGGCCATCCTGTGTCCTCATTCCTGCCCTGGTTAGCCTTCTGCCCTGTTTGCCTCTGACACCTCTCTCCAGACCACATCCCTCTTGCTTCTGTGCTTCCCTCCTCTTCCCTGCCCTTGGCACAGCCAGTTCTGCTGCCCATCTCCTGCTACTCCCCTGCCCCTCTTCCTCCTCCTCTGCTTTCTAGGAGCCCTGCCTGCCCCTTACCACTGGAGAGAGCCAACCATTCATAATCATTCTGGCCACTGTCTTCCAGGTCACCCAGACCTCAGGCTACCTACGTGAATGGCAGCCTCCCAGCAGCTCAACACATCAAGCAAGAAGCCCTACCTGACTACCAGGCCATGGCCAGTGCCCACACACCCCTGCCCACCCACTGCCGGGCCCCATCTTCATCGGGCCTGCACTCAGACCTGGACTTCCCAGGCCGAGGCCTCACCAACCCCGCATCTTCCTGCTACCTTCTGGGCAGTGAACCCATCTCAGGCCTGGGTCCCCAGCCGGAGGCCCACCTCCCTGAAGGCAGCCTGAAGCACTGCTGCCTCCTGGGCCTGCCCCCCGCCTCTTCAGCCTCCCCCTCCCCCTGTGCCTCCTCCGACGTCAGTCCTGCCATCCACTCCTCCCAGACGGCTCTTGTCAGTTGTGTAAATGGACTCCGAAACCCACCTCTGCCAGGAGACCTGGGCCCCCCTCCCAAGCGATCTCGGCCTGGGCCTGGGCCTGGGCCTGCATCCGGTGACAGCCACGAGGGCGGCTTGCAGCTTGAAGCGTGCCGGAAGTCAGGCTTCCTGAAGCAGGAGCCCGTGGACGAGTTCTCGGAGCTCTTCGCCCCTCACCAGCAGGGCTTGCCGCCCCCCTACCCCCTGCCTCAGTTGCCGGCTGGCCCCAGCCTTGGCGGCCTAGGGCTCAGCCTGGCAGGCAGGATGGCGGCCGGGAGGCAGGCGTGCCGCTGGGTGGACTGCTGCGCGGCCTACGAGCAGCAGGAGGAGCTGGTGCGGCACATCGAGAAGAGCCACATCGACCAGCGCAAGGGCGAAGACTTCACCTGCTTCTGGGCGGGCTGTGTGCGGCGATACAAGCCCTTCAACGCCCGCTACAAGCTGCTCATCCACATGAGGGTGCACTCGGGCGAGAAACCCAACAAGTGCATGGTGAGTCCGGGGCCGCCGGGGCCCCCCAGTCTCCTTACACAGCCGCAGCACTGGGTGCTCTAGAAAGACTCCCCTGGGAGCAAGGCAGAGCTCCCACAAAGTCCAGGGCTGTGGGCGTGGCCAGGGAATAGGACCATCTGTGCCCCCGTCACAGGAAGCCTTGGCAGGATTACCTCACCCTTGCCAAGTGCCCCGTCCCCCTACTCTGAAGCGTTGGATGGATATTAGGTGTAATTTAGCAGGTCGCAAGCCAGCCTGGCTAGACTTGTCTTTTCCGTGTCACCTGATGGTGGCAGATGACAGCAGAGTGGCCGTTACCCAGTGCATGTCCAAGAGAGGCCTCTAGGCCTTCTAAGCTTTCCACTGCGCTGCCTCCTGTAAAGAGGTACTGGGTCGTCAGGGCAGGCTTGGAGCTGAGGTCAAGGGTTAGGTCGAGCCCCTGCGCAGCACCGGCAGTGTTTGTCTGGGGTTGGGACAAAGGATTGGGGAGAAAGAAGCATGTGTGTGCATGAGCGGGCGTGCAGATTCCCACAAGTTAGACGCAGGCGACCTGGCCTCGGGCCCTTCTGACCGGCCCACCTCCATGTTTTGTGATCGCCGTAGTGGGAAGCTGTCTCAGAGGCTTAGGAGAGAGATCTTAGTCCCCGTACCGCTGTCTCCCTCCCGAAACAGCAGCCTGGGCTCGAGGGTGCTTTACAACACAACAGGCCACCCAGACCACACACATCTCACCTTCTTAACTACCAGGCATTGGCGTTTCTGGCCCATAGGGCCAAGGTCAAGTTTTTCCCACCATGTACTGCCTGTGTCACTTTTGGTCTTAGAAGGGGCTCCAGGTCCCTGCCCAGAGCTCAGAGCACATCTGTGGGGCATCAGGTAGGAAGCGTTGGTAACTGTGGTGTAGAGTCAGTCTTGAAGATAAGGAGTCTGTTAGCTCATGGACAGGCCACAGGTGGGCGGCCGTGAGGAGAGGAGGAGCTAGAGGCTAGGGCTTGGGCACTGTCGTACTGCACAAAGGTGTTGGAGGTCCCGAGCTGGTGGAGAACTTTACTTGATGTGTTTGGGCTGAGAGTGTGCAGGCAGGAGGGGTCACAGCTGAGCTAGTGTCATATCCACGTGGGTCTTACGACACCTGAGGTGGTGAAAGCTGTGCCTCTCCGGGATGGGGAAGAAGAACAAGTCCGTAGGCCAGGGCTGCTGGAGACAGCCTGTCTTCCCCCAAGACGCCGGGCCGAAATTGTCAATCGTATCTTCCTCCTGTTGGGAACCCGTGGAGTCTGTGTGGGCCCAGACAGTAACCTGAGGTGGCAGGCAGCCTTCTTTGCCGGGGCCTTGTGTGCAGAATCCCAGCATCCAGCGGTGGCCATGTGAGACAACTAGGCCTTCCTTGAGTCCTTTGGGGCCCTGGTTGCTCAGAGCAGCCTCAGGATCCCTCCGGGTTGAGGTTCTCACGTGATTCCAACCTCTGTGATACTGTGGGGACCTAGACGTGGTTCTGTCTCGGTCCTTGCCCTGAAGGGCTTCATGCTTAGGGATGTGTCCTCAAGCCACCAAGGACCAGGCTGTGACGGCCCCAGATGGAGTTTGAAGAGGCCCAGGGAAAGAGTTCAGGGGGCTTCTGGGGGTTTGCATCTGGTCTTTAGCAGGGCTCTGGGAACCCCAGGGCTTTCACACCAGCAACAAAGATCGGTGGTCCGATGGGTCTGGGCAGCCCAGCTTCCCACACTCCTGGCTTTGCCTCTTCCGGGTTAGCAGCACAGTAGCGACAGGTCAAGCGGCGATCGCCGGCTTCACAGCCCACCTGTGGTCCTCCCCGAAGCTCTGCCCGCTCCCATTTTACAGATGAGCAAGTAGAGGCTCAGAGAGGTTACACCGCTGGCTTCAAGTCACACAGCTAGTCAAATAAGCTGTCCAAAATGATCCCTCTAGTCACCGCTGCAGTGCGAAGGAACCCACACCCTCACCCACTGCAGGGCCCTGGGCAGTTTAGATATTTCTCCGGGGCCCACGGGCTGGCCCTGCTGGGTGTGGCCATCTGCAATGGGAACCTCTTGTGGAGCCCCATCCCAGGCCGCTCCTGCCCATGGTGGGTGAGAACACCCACCCTTCCCACCGGTGGAGTAGGTAACCAGGACAACGGGCCGACCCCGACCCACACCCAGGTGAATAACAGCTCCTGTCCCTGTAAAATTATTAATTTCTCATGACAGGCCTGTGCTACTATGTCTGTAATAGACAAAGGAATCTTGGACCTGAGGCCTCTGGAGGACAGGAAATAGATGAGACGTTTTGATTGAGGGGTAAATGGCCCACTAAAATAGCAGTTAATCCTTTTATTATCTTCCCAGCAGCATTTCCACAGCTTTCATGAGGTAAGCTTCCCTCGCTCCATCTAACTGCAGCACCCCCCGTGCTCGCAGCTGGTTTAAATTTAGCCCGGGGAGCCTTCGCTCGATCGGGTACCAAGCAGCCTGGGTGTGGAGAGAGGAGCCCGCTCCCCGCCCTTAGTCCTGAACCCTGCTGGCCTCCAGGTAACCCTGCCCTCGCCTGGCCCTGCCCTGCCTGGCAGGTCCTGCCCTGTTCAGTACGCAGCCCGAGGAAGCTTCTAGATCTCCCTGCAATATCCTGTTGTTGTTCGTGTTGCTCCCGTTGTCTCCGTCTTATTAAATCCGGGGCTTCGTCTGCGTTACCATAACAAGCCTATGTCCAACCCAAATACTGACGCGGCGCCTCCGAGACGTGGACTTTGGAAAGATTAGTCCCCTGCTTTCTTAGGTTGGTTCCACCAGACAGTCAGAATCCTCCATGTCTGAGCTGCAGAAGCCGGCAGCTGTGAGGCAGAGAGGGAAACAGTGGCCCTTTCCTGCTGTGGGCTCTGTAAAATAACAGCTGAGGCCCAGAAAGCTCCTTGCCATGGTAAGGAATTTTAGCAGCACTTGTGACCTGCATGGGAGTCCAGGTCAAGTCCCACATACCTGTCTCCCAGCTCTGCCACTCAGGTGGCTGACTTACCCTCTCTGATCCAGTGCCACACTTCACCTCCAGGATTGTTGTTTGAGGCGGGGAGAGCGCATGGCTAGTCCTTTCCCATCATCCTCTTGTGCTTTGACGTCTCCGGTGAAAGGAGCCCGGTTGCATCTTTTCTTGGTGCTGCTCAGCCAGACAGAATCTGCGCCGGTGTCTGTCTGTCTGTCTGTGCTGGTGAGAGCTGAACTGCAGACTGGTCTCTCCTGCCCAGCCTTGGTTGGCCGCAGCCTTCCCCCTTTCACACCTCTCCTGCTTGCCAGTCCAGCCCAGGTGCCTTTGAATGGCGACCTGGGCACAGCCGAGGATTGCCGACAGCTAGAGATAGCCAAAGAAGGCAAAACTCAGCGCCAAGGGCTTCTGGGAGGACCCCACCACTCCCCACCAGGGCCAGAGTTACATGTACCTCTAGCCCTAGTTTCCTCATCACTTCGCCTCAGCAGTGGCCCCCCAACCAATCCCTGGTGCTGGGGGAGGGGAGGTAAAAAGGGGGAGGCCTGTTCAGAGTCTCTTCCTCAGCAGCCACGAGCCAACACGCTGCTTACCAAGGAAATGGCTACTGATGCTCACGGCCGAGCAGCTCTCTGTCACCCAGTAGCTGCACCCCCACCCCAACCCCCGTTACCTTTGTACGGCCTCTTCCTTCAGCAGCGCTGTGTCCAGTCCTAGCAGGTAGAGTCCTGAGCGTATGCCCTGCTCCTGGCTCTTGAGCCCAGTCTTGAGGCTAACACTCCAACTTCCCGAGGCCTCATCCCCGGGGTTTCCTTAGGGCCCTGAAATATCCGGATGGGCAGCTCTGTCAGTCCTTCCCCATAGGTGCAGACAGACTACAGGGGGGCAGAGCCAGAGAGGGCCGCCCAGAGCCTGGAATCTCGTCAGTGTCAGACTGACAAGCAAACACTGGGGAAAGTCAAGGCTGAGAGAAAGTGACCATTGAGACAAGGAGAGAGCCTCTCCCTGACACACTCACCTCTCGGAGTGGCAGGCTCTTAGTGAACTAAACTGGATGCTGGGAGCCACACGAGGTGGCTTGGAAATGCTGCCATCATGAAGCACATGGCAAGGCTTGCCATGTTCTGCTGGGTTATGGGGGATGAGAGGAAGCCTGGAGCTGAGCATGGAGAACCTAGATCAGTGGGTCTCAACCTTCCTGACGCTCCGGCCCTTCAATACAGTTCCTCATGTTGCGCTAACTCCCAACCATAAAATAATTTTCATTGCTACTTCACAACTATAATTTTGCCACTGTTATGAATTGTAATGTAAATGTCTGTGTTTTCCGATGGTGTTAGGTGACCCCTCTGAAAGGGCCATCTGACTCCCAAAGGGGTTGTGACCCATAGGTTGAGAATCACTGGCCTAGATGTGGTCCATGGGGGTAGGACACCGTGAAAATCCTTGGGTGGTGCTGAGGAGGTGGCTTTATGTGCAAAGTACTTAGGGTCCATGGGGACTTGAGCTCTGTGCTCCAGCAACACTAAAGCCTCACAGGGACACATGCATCTGTGAGCCCAGTGCTGGGGACAGGCCCATGGTACGGAGCAGGTCGGAGCAGGTCTCAGCAGCTGCCTGGCTAGCTGGTCTAGCTAAAATGGTGAACCTCCATTAGTGGAGAAGCAATTGAGGAAGATATTCTGATACTAACTTCTGACCTCCACATGAACACACACACACACACACACACACACACAGCCCCATCCTTGGAACATCCAGGGCACAGGGATCTCATCCCAGTGTACAGATGGGATCAGCTGTGGGGCAGGTTCACACTTAGGCAGGGACGCCAGGGGTAGGATTTGAACCTAGATCTCAGCCTGACTCCAGACACGTCCTAGCCACAGCTCCAGTAAATATCCAGACTTGAAATTTATTCTGTAAACTTTCAGCGACCTTTGCCTGGGTCCTGGGGTCACAAAGGGGCATCAACTCTAGCCTGGGCTCAGGAGCCCTCAGCAAGATAGGGAGACGGGCCACTA